GAGCCTGACCCAAGCCATGGTATTTTCAATAACCTCATATGCATGTAAAACCTGGACAGTAAATAAGGAAGACCGTAGAAGAATTGATGCTTTTGAGTCATAGTATTGAAGGAGAATATTGAAAGTGCCATGGGCTGCCAAATGAACCAATAGATCTGTTTTGGAAGAAGTGCAGCCAGAGTGCTCCTTACAGGCCAAGATGGCCAAACTTTGTCTCTCACACTTTGGACATATTGTCAGGAGGGAGCAGTCACTGGAGAAGGAGACCATGTTTGGTAAGGTGGAGGGTCAGAGCAAAAGAGGAAGACCCCAACGAGATGGATTGGCCAAGTGGCAGCATTGATGGACTCAAGCGTGGCAACAGTAGTGAGGTTGGCCAAGGATCAGACAGTGTTTCATTCTGCTGTGCATAAGGTCGCTATGGGTCAGTACTGACTCGATGGCACCTAACAACAACAGACATGGTTATGATCATATAGATAACCATACCAGAAAGTAGCTAGTACTATATCCATTTCAAATGAGGAAGTTGAAACTCCCAGTGGTCAAGTAACTTGCCCTGAAGTCCTTCAGATAATAAGAAGACAGGCCAGTATTTGAAGCCATTCTTATCTGACTCTTCCCATTATACTACTTTCTGGTATGGAGCTTCAAGATAATGCACTGGACCCCAAGGTCAGTTTGAACCTCAAAGTCAGTTCAAACCCACCAGCTGCTCCTAAGACACCCTAAGTAGAGTTGCTATGAGTCAGAACTATTCAAAGGCACTTAGCAACAGCAACAAGTTTCCATTGGTTCAATTCCATGATTTCTCAGGTAAAGGTATGTGGTCTTTTACAGACAATAAACTGCTCCAGTATAAGAAGCCCCACGAAAACAGTGATATTGGGTTTATCATTCCAAAATGAGCTGTGGTAATCACATGTAATATCATCGCCATACTCATTGCTGTGAGCTGATTCTGACTCACAGCGATCCCATCCCATAGAACAGAGAAGAATTCCCCAGAGTACCACATCTTTCTGTTGTAGAGCAACTGCTGGGTTCAAACCACCAACTTTTCAGTTCTTAATGAAATACTTAACAGCTATGCCACCAAGTCTCCTTAATCACATGAAATGTGATATTCATATTACCATAAACAACTTTATAACAGCATGATCTATGTAGCAAAATTATTTCTAGGTCACTCAATGGCCTGTTAGTCAATCCCATCTATATTTATTTTAATAAAATAAGAGAAGATAGGACAAAATTGTAATGAGATTGACCAGTAAAGAAATAAGTCGTTGTTGAAGCAAAAGTCAAAGGTGATAGTAAATAGACATATTTTTTAATAATAGCATTAAGCACAAGCATAAGAAACAAAATTAAGATGTGGCTTTATTTAATCAGCATCCTTTAGGGGAATTCATCCTTAAGAGGCAGAATCAAATCAAACAAATCAAATCATGTTATACGTTTCAACTATTTTAGCATAATAAAATTTTCCTCTCCTTCGTTTTACTCAAATGTAAACTGCCCATCTGTTCTACAGTCTGCTTTCTACCTGCTCTATTGTCCCATGGTAGGTTCTTGTTCTTTCATGGCTCTCTTTCTCTGCCTCCCTTGTCATTCCTTTCTGCAGAGATTGATACTAGTCCCAAGTTACTTGGCTTTTTGACCTATTCCAAATAGAGCTCATCTAGACAAATGCAACTCTCCTGGGAAAAAAACAAAACAAAAAAACTCCGAGCCCTCTCTCCTCTTTGCTCATGGTTTATATGAGCTGCTCCCAGGAATCCTTTGTGGGAATAAGTTCATGGAAGAAGAATGGGTGACCCAATTGCCTTAGGTGACATTCCATCTGTGCACTGCTTCTATTCATTGCCAGATGAGGAGGGTCAAGGAAGTCAAACTATATGTGTGCCTGCAAGGAAGCTAATAGACATCAGATTCTGTATTTGCCTTTTACATGAATTAGGCATTTAGGCTATTAAAGGAAGTTTATGAAGATAAAAGCAGATTATTCTGTTATATAATAGTAACTCACTGAATACACGTATGTGTGCATGCATATATATATATATACATAAAGTTCCATAAACTGAGGCTTAAAAGGAATTTGCAAAAAACTTACTCAGCTAACAGAAGCACAGCTGGGATTTGAACTCTGGTTTATTTCAAGCCAGAGTCCTATTCTTAACTATTGCACTATGTAGGGGTCTTGGCAGCTTTGTTCCCAGTGCTGACGCCAAGGTAAATAGTAGGTGCTCAGATGAGTGAGTCTCCACTTCATCTGTGTGGTTGGGATCATATTGTTGTGACTCCTGGGATGAACTGAAGAAGTTCTTCACACAGAGTGGGCTAACAACATTTTTGTGCTGTCTTCTCTCCCTTCACTGGTTAACCGCTGGGCAGCTAACAAAAGACTGGCAATTCAAACCTAGCAACTGTTCCACAGGAGAAGGCTGAAGCAGTCTGATTTCAAAAGCCTGACAGTTTTGGAAATTTTATGGAGCAGTTGTATTCTGTCCTGCAGGGTCACTGTGAGTTGGAATTAACTCAGTGACAGTTGGTTGGGTTTGGTGTGTAACCTCACTATACCTTTTCTTAGTAACATCCATAGGATAAGGCAGTTGGCAAGCATATTATAGCTTACCATCAACAGTAACAGCATAGCAGAACCTATAAAAACATCAGCACTTTAAAAGCATTGTCAATAAAGAGTGGCTAATTATGCTACTTTCCCCAAATTACATTTAATAAATGCCAAGTCCATCCAGAAATAAATTCTCACTTGATTTTAATGCACACTTTAATAGTATTTTGAATTTTAGATGACCATATCAAAAACAATTATAATAGTCTTCTAATAGCCATCACAAAGTTAATCACCAGTCAGAGCAGCAATTTGAGCTATTTCTGTAAATAATGTTCTTAAGGGGGCATCTACCTACTTAAAATAATAAAGTGACCAGGCTAACTGGTCTGATAGAGACAAGTGGCACCCCTAATTTGACGATGGCCTTTAGTCACTCCTCAAGCCTAGAACTGAACTCACTACCACCACTCCAACCCCTCCTCCCACCCCACCCTGTGGATCAACTTTCAGCCAAACCATAGCCAGTCCTTTAAAATGATAACTAATACCAAGGAGGTATGCACGCCTTAGAACAAGCAACCTAAGAGATCAAAAAGGCAGCATTTGTCCAGGGATAAAGCTCAGAAGGCTGAAAGGGAAAGGTAGGAAAGGAGAAGGAATGGAAAAGGTAAACACAGGGAAGATGTGAGGGAATGCTGTTACACTGTGGGGATTGCAGTCAATGCCACAAAATGAAATGTGTATAAATTGTTGTAGGGAAAACAAATTTTCTCTGTAAACTTCCACTCAAATTATAATAAAAAGTTAAACAAAATAAAAAGAGAGAGTTGCTGTGTACCTTTTTGTCAAATCTGGGATGTTCTATAATATCAAGAAAGATAGGCCTTATACTTATGGATGTAGTAGCTCAAAATACCAACTGAGAGGGAAGGACTCTCCACATCAAGGATCAATCCTATCCCCTCTGTACGTACAAAGGGTTGATCTGGACAGGCAACTTAGACATTGGCTACTTAAAAAGGAGGTGGGGGGCAACAAAGGTACAAAGTGACTGGCTTACAAGTTCTAACATGGAGTTTAGTTTCAGAGTGTGAGGAAAGGTAGAACCCTCACTGAATAGTTTTCATCTTGTCTAGACAGGTCTGGTGAAAGGTGATGGGGATAAGATTCTGATGATTCAAAAGTGAGTAATTGTTATCATGACAAACTGTGACTGACACAACATAAAGGTAGAAGTTTTGTAACAAAAAGGGTGTAGTAGTTAACCTTACAGTCCAGGAGCAGAGGACCCTAGGATCATCAAGGGAGAAGAACACATGAGGAATGTGAGACCCTATCCAGAGAAGCAGCAACACCAGAGATGGAGGTAGAGATGATGACATGGAGAGAAAGAGTAGCTGAGGACTCCAGACTCAAAAAGAGAAAGACTGTGTGCTGGCAACCAGGAGGCAGGCTTGCAGAATGTGCCCTTTGGTTGGTTATTTAAATGATTATATATTCCTGAGTGTTTTTGTGTACATGAAAAAAACAAAAAAACAGAGGGTATAGAAGGAAATACTGTTGAATGATGATGCACGGAGGGGATTGTAATCATTGCAATGAAACAAAATGATAGGATGAGTGTAAAACTGATGTGCTCCTGTGTAAACTATCACTCAATTCACAACAAAAATTTTAAAAAGAAAGATAGGCTTACCCTGGAGCGCAAACACAGCCGCTTATACAGGGTGAGGATGGGGCACAAGTGAAGTTCATGGCCAGATTTGCACATGTAGTCTCACAATTTATACCACCAGCTGGTAATTCAGGGTCAGGAAATCTGCAGTCAAAGAACTCTTTTCCTTCTGGGCAGGCATGAACTTTAGAGGGAAAGACACAGATGAAATACTCTTAACTTCTTATTCACTCAATAGGCAAATAGTCACATTGATATACACTTATCATCAAAACAAAATTCAGAATAGAATATTGTTACCATTATGATTAAATGAAAAGCTCTTAATCTATGAGTTTTGGCTGATGAGTTTACGAACACTTCCTAGACAGATTCACTTTAGTCTCCTAAATTTCCAAAATCTGTTTTGAATTTCAAATCCTTAACTGACTTCCCTAAGGCAGTAACTAAACAGCTAGTATATAATTTTCTGAGATCAAGAAGCAGTGTATTTTGATGCATCTAAACATAATTGTCAATTTTTGAAGACTAAGAATTTAAACTTTTACAAAGCCACAGTATTTGTAGCTCTTGTTTTATTGTTATGCAGTTACTGTTTGCATTAGCCCCATTGTACTACAGAAGTGCAGAAGCAGACATAGTTAAAACTGGGAGAGGGGCTATCCTATTCCTCTGGAAAGCTTGTGGGCTATCAGGGATTCAATCAGGTTAGAGTAGACTCTTGAGAAATTCTCTGTGAGAATCAGACCTCTTGGGCTTTCCTTTAGACCCCACCCCCTCCCTCCCCCCACCCTTTTTTTTTTAATTGAGTCATTTTGAAGCAAAAAGAATAAAGAAGGAAAGGTCTTAAAGTTACTGAATATGTCGACATTACATTGAAAAGAAGCACTAGGATGGTATGCTATTGTTGTTGTTGTTCAGTGCCAATGAGTCGATTCCAACCCATAGTGACCCTGTGTAGGATTTCCAAGGAGCAGCTGGTGAGCTTGAACCACCAACCTTGCAGTTCAAATGACTTTGCAGTCTGACGCATTAACCCACAGTGTCATACCAAGATGGTATGAAGCCATATAACATAAATTCAGTGCATAAATTCAAAGCTACTTTATAAAAATTTGTAAATGATCATTCAAATAAGTAGCAAAAGAATAGTTCACAGTTCCTTTTATCAGTATATACCCTTTTTGTCCAATAAAATCAATGAAAGCATTGTTTGTTATTTCGCCTAGAATTTCTCAACTGGAGCTGAGAACTTGAGAATAATATGGTGAAAATAAATAATATAGGAGGAGGCTTCAAAAAGTTTGTGGACAAGACCATTACCTTTTCACTCCATTTTTCCACTAACTTTTTGAAGTCCCCTCATATAAATTCTCTGTTGGCTAATGTGCTGGACCGCAAAGTCATTTGAATTGCAAGGTCGGTGATTCAAGCTCACCAGTCACTCCTTGGAAACCATATGCAGAGTTGCTATGGGTTGGAATTGACTAGATGGCACTTAACAACAACAACCTATAGAGTCTCATACTATAGGTTACTCCTACTATAGGGTGCTGGTGTGGCATTGTAGATGAAGCACTGCACAACAAGGTCGGTTTAAACTGCAAGGTTGGTGGTACAAACTCACTAGCTGCTCCTCAGAAACCCTATACAGGGTCACTATGAGTCGGAACCAACTCTACAACAAAACAACAACTACAGAGTCTCCTAATACACAGGATCTTCAAGAAAGATGTTTAAGTTAAAAATGATAGTCTAGAAAGAGATGGCAGTAGATCTCATTACACACGTCATTTAAAACCACAAATACTCCCTAGAGCTTTGCTACAAATGATGTAGCTCAGAAAACATCGGCATTTGCATTTCCTTGACCATAGATAAAAATGCAGAATCTGAGGCTTCACTTCAGTCTACTGAATCAAAATTTGCAGTTTCACCAGACACCCAAGTGGTTCTCATCAAAGTCTGAGTATCAGTGATCTAGAATAAAGTTTCTCAACCTTTGTGGCAAAAAATAGTTCACAAGTGGTACCTATATACAGACCCTACAGCTCTTAGAGAACTGGGTTGATCTTAAAATAGGCAGCATCCCAGGACTGAACAGTTTTGCTCCTAAGTAGCCTTCTTTGTTGACCCCTGATTGTCCTTACTATAATACTAAGAGTGAGAAGATTGTCCTACAAATACTATAATATTTAATGTGAAAAGTTAGGAAGCATTTGACCTGCTGAGAAACACTCCCAAGGCTACATTCAAGTGCAATGGCAAGGAGGTCTGTGACTTATCAATGTTGTTTGCCCAAAGAATAGGGCAGTATTAGAGGCAACCTTCTGCTTCAGGAAGACATCTAAACCTTACCAGTAGAGGGTGTTGCCGATTCATCACATTGCACAGTTCCATTTGAACACTGGCTAGTGGAAGTAAATAAATAGTTAATTTATTAACCCAAATCTCAGGCTTTTTTGTATATCAAAATCAATCTGACATTCAATAACTGAGTGAATACAGACATAAATAATTTTTCTCCACAGAATGTTTTACAAATAATTTATTCAGCTCTAAATTAACGACTCAGGTCAATTTCAAATATTTACAATTAGTCAAACAAATATTTATAGGACACCTATATATATGAACACCTATATATACAATAGACTTAGACGATGCAAAGACCAAAATTCATAGTTTTTGACCAAGTGACTATATCCTAGTGGGAAAGAAAAACATAAAAGTAAAATAAAGACAGTATGACACATGCAATGTAGAATTATGCTTAAAATATATGTGAAACAAAAATATTTAATCTGTTGGTATCTGACATCAGAGCAATCAAAGGAATGCAGTTGTAAAGAATAAATGGACCTTAATTTTCAATAACCTCATATGCATGTGAAAGCTGGACAGTGAATAAGGAAGACCATAGAAGAATTGATGCTTTTGAGTTATGGTGTTGGGGGAGAATACTGAAAGTGCATGGGTTGCCAAAAGAACAAACAGATCCATTCTGGAAGAAGTGCAGCCAGAGTGTTCCTTAGAGGCCAAGATGGTCAAACTTCGTTTCTCATACATAGGACATATTGTCAGGAGGGACCAGTTGCTGGAGAAGGATATCATGTTTGGTAAGGTGGAGGGTCAGAGAAAAAGAGTACCATCCCCAATGAGATGGATTGGCCAAGTATCAGCATCGATGGACTCAAGTGTGGCAACAGTAGTGAGGTTGGCCCAGGATGAGGCAGTGTTTTGTTCTGCTGTGCATAGGGTCACTATGAGTCGATACTGACTCAATGGCACCTAACAACAACAACAACATGAATAATGTAAGATGGTTTTATCATTCAGTAGAGACGTGTAAAACCATAAAGGGGAAAGCATAGTTCTGTGTAAAATAAAGTGCAAGGAGAGAAGTTATAGGAGCTGCAGATGGCACAATAGACAGAGGCCAGCTCCTATGAGGAAGTCAACAATTTATTCCTTAAGTGAGTGATTAAAGATGTTCAACAAAGAAGTAATATATTTGGATTTGAATTTTAGAAATTTTCTTTTGGCAGCAGTATGGAAGATAAAGTAGAGTCATGTTTTCCTTATGACTTAAGTTCTAAAGCCTGGCATAAGGCAAAATAATGATAATAACTAAAATTAATTTTGAATATTCCTCTGGAAGATAACATGATAGGGTGCAAACTACCCATTCTCAATAGCACCAACACGGACAGTTTGTTCAATATGAGACCATACCATGTGTTCTATATTTGAGTTCTGATGAAGAAGTAACTCATGTATAAGAGAATGTCCACATGAAAAGGGTGTTTATCTAACAGGGGGCCAAAATATGAAAACTTGTTAGATATTCGCAACACATTGATTTTCTGAGTCTGGAAGATCAGGACCATAGTCTCAGGGGACACCATGGTCAATTGGCATAACGTAGTCTACAAAGGCAATATTCTACATCCTATTTTAATGAGCGTGACTGAGATCTTTAAAAGTTCATTAGTGGTCATCGAAGGTGCAACTATTGGTCTCTCCCGGACAGGATGAAAGAAAAGTGATGAAAACTGAACATGCTTGGAAACAATTAGTCCAATGGATTAATGTTCCACATGAGTATCATTCTCCATAACCCTGAGAACAGAAGAACTAGATGGTTCCCAGCTACCACTACCAACTGCACTGAAAGGAACACATAAGAAGGTCCTGGATAGAGAGAAAAAAATGTGCAGCAAAGCTCAAAATCAGTATTGGATGGAGACTGCTGCAACCCTGAGATTATGGCCATCCTTCAGGTCTGGAATTGAACTCATCCCCCAGGTCAATTTTCAGTCAAGGAATAGAACGTTATATTGTGAGAACAACAACACTAGTGAGACACACATACCACAGAGTAGTCATCACTTGAGACAGAAAGGGTAGCATTTACCTAAGGACAAAATTTAGAAGTGGTGGGGGAAAGAAAGAGGAAAGGAAAGAAGAGACACAGGAAGGCCATAGGGTAAGTAAAGTTACACAGGGGATTGCAACTGAGATTAAACAAAGGAGACCTGGCGTGGTGCTGTAGGATAATGTACTAGACTTCAAAGTCAGTTTCATTTGCAAGGTCAGTGGTTCAATCTCAAAAGTTGCTCTTTAGAAACCCTATATTGGTCAAAACCAACTTGATGTCACTTAACAACAACATACTTTATTGATTGTAAAACTGATGAACTGCTTTGTAAACTTCCACTCAATTCAGAATAAAAAGTTTAAAAAAAAAAAAAAAACTCCCAAAGGGAAAGCATGGAAATATGCTTATGCATCACTAACCATTAGAATAACACTGAGATGTGATTCACTCAAACTAAATGGCATAGAAGACCCAAAGCAGACAGAAACAGTCACAGACCCAGATCTTCCATAGCACACTAATTTGAGACATATGCTTTTTGAGAGTGGAATGGCAGATAAGGTCATCCAAATTAACTGAATTTTTCTTTTTCTCATAGTGATAAATGCTTACATTGTTTTTTCTATTACATAAGTAAATTCAATTAATTTAAATTCAATTAATTTAAATTTTAGCTGGATAGAAGTGAGCAAGACTGAAGGCACAAAGCCCATTGAGTAAGGTCCAAAGGATGAGAGTGTGTATGAGATGGCTAAAGCAGTGTGATGGAAAAGAAGAAATAGATTTGAACTACATATAAAAGCAAAACCCCCAATCTTTAAGGATTTATTGAAGAGGGGTGTTGAGTAAGTTGAAAATGACTACTTGATCTCTAGCTTAGAAAAGCATGTATATTAGCACAATCTGCTAGAGAAACACTTTCACCATACTTATTCAATCTGTATACTGGACAAAGGAGTCCAAATGGAGCCTGGTGTGGCGCTATGAGTTAATGCACCAGACTGCAAAGCCATTTGAACTGCAAGGTCAGCTCTACAGGGTCGCTATGGGTCAGAACCAATTAGACAGCACTTCACAACAAATACTGGAAAAATAATCCAAAAAGTTGACTTATATGAATAAGAACATGGCATAAGGACTGGAGGAAATCTCATTAACAACCTGTGATATGCTGATGTCATAGCCTTACCTCCTGGGAATGAAGAGAACTTAAAATATTTACTAATGAAGATCAAAGACCAATTTTCAGTATGGGTTGCACCTCAACCTAAAAAAAACAAAAGTCCTCACAACCGGAACAATAAATAACATTACAATGAATGAGAAAAGATTGAATTTGCCAAAGCCTAGTTTGGATCCACCATTAACATTAATGGAAGCAGTAGTCACAAAATTAAACAACATACAGCTTCAGGTAAATCTGAGGCAAAAGACTTCTTTAAAGTGTAAAAAAGCAAAGCTGTCAGTTTAATGAGTAAAGAGAGGCTGTCCCAAGACATGCAAAAATTGGACACTGAATAGGGAACACTGTAGAAAAAGTCAGTGCATTTGAATTATGGTATTGGCAATGAATATTGAAAGCACCATAGACGGCCAAAAGAACAAACAAATATTTCCTGAAAAAAGTACAACTAGAGTGCTCATTAGAAGCAAAGATGGAGGGCAGAAACCAAGGGATCATCTGACTGAGAAGGCCAGAAACAGAAAGAGGTGTGCCTGTGGATACAGCTTAGAAGAGGCACTTCAGACCACAGGACTGTATCCTGAACGTTTCTGATCCTGAATTGTAACTTGTTAACTTCCCTGATAAACTCTGTAATACTTCATCGTATACTTCAAGGTAGCATAGTATTCCATTGTGTGGAGAAGAGGCATTCTTGATTGAAGAATTGCTGGGTTGTTTCTGGGTTGTTTCTGATCCTGAATTGTACCCTGTTCACTTTCCTAATAAACCCAATAATAAGCAAAGCAAAGGCTGAGGAGCCACAGGGCTGAGAGGCCAAAGACCAGAGTGACGTGGGTCTTCAGTACGGCAGAGAAGAGGCATTCCTGACTGGAGAACTGCTGTATCCTGAGCTGTTTCTGATACTGAGTTGTACCCTGTTCATTTCCCTAATAAACCCATAATCGTTGACAAGACAATTCTTTTGCTTTCAAGTGACGTATGTCTGCAGTCAACTACAGGCCAAGAAGTTGGCTCTGCTGATCTTGACTAGGCTTTTAGAACCTGTAGTCCAGTGGAGAAGATGGAAGTCAGGAGTGGAACACATCATTTGGATGCCAAGATCCGTGTGCATTGAACCTCTTTGGCCCAGGAACAGAAAGCTGTGGCATCAGAGAAGTGGTAAAGGGGCAGCAGCAACAGAATCAAAGCCAGAGCATGAGACAGAGTACTGGGTTTCTCAGGCCACAGAACAAGTAAAGCTGAGTGACTTTGGGGCAGGAGGGGTTGCTTGCAGAGTGGCACTTAATTGAGGGAGCTAGGTTTGCTAACCCATGGAGCTAGAGCCAAGTGCCTTCAGGCCTCATGAGGCTCATAACGGAATGCTGTGCCCTGTGATCTTTTATCAGAAGCCATAAAAGAGCGTTGCAACATTGCCTGGATGGAGAGAGGCCTTTCTGAGGGCAGGGCAGAGGAGAGTCTGCCTTGACCTGAAGAACTATGCTCTGAACATTTTCTGATTCTGCATTGTAACCTGTTCCTTTATAGAACTCTTAACTGTGGGAAAAAAAGAAAAAGAGGAAGCAAGGTTGGTGAGACTTTGAATCTCATACTTCGGACACATTGCTAGGAAGGACCAGTTTTTGGAGAAAGACACTATGCTTGGTAAAGTGGAGGGTCAGCAAAAAAGAGGAAGACCCTCAATGAGATGGTTTGGCAGAGTTGCAATAGCAATAGGCTCAAGTGTAACAACAACTGGGAGGATGGGGCAGGATCCAGCAGTGTTTCATTATGTTGTGCATAGGGTCCTATGAGCCTAAACCAACTCAATGGCACCTAACACAACAAAACATTACAGAAACTACCAAGAGCTGGTTGTCTTTGTACCTTGATCTGGAAACTGAGCATCAATAATAATATGCTACAATGAAATACACAAAGTCATTGTACCAAAAGGAAATTGGTAATGTTCGACCATTTCAAGAGGTAGTATATGATCAAGAGCCAGTGATACTCAGGGAGGAAGTCCAAAGTGCATTGAAGGAATTGGCAAAGAAAAAGGCACCAGGAATTGATGGAATACAACTTGAAATCTTCCAAAAAAGTGAGGCGGCAAAGGAGGTGCTCACTCACTTCTCCCAAGAAATTTGGAAGACAACTATCTGGCCGACTGATTAGAAGAGATCCATATTTGTGCCCATTCCAAAGAGAGGTGGCCCAATGGAATGCGGAAATCTTCGGACAATCTCTTTGATATCCCATGTGAGTAAAGTTTTTCTAAAGGTAATACAAAAACAGCTGCAAGCATACATTGACAGAGAACTTCCAGAGGTTCAAGCTGGATTCAGAAGAGGCCGGGGAACGAGAGATATCATTGCTGATGTCCGATGGATCTTGGCTGAAAGCAGAGAATATCAAAAGGATGTTTACCTATGCTTTATTGACTATGCGAAGGCTTTCTATTGTGTGGATCATGACAATCTATGGACAACATTGAGAAGTATGAGTATTCCAGAACACTTAATTGTGCTCATGAGGAATCTGTACCTGGACCAAGAAGCAGTTGTTTGAACAGAGCATGGGAACACTGAATGTTTTAAAATTAAGAAAGGTGTGTGAGAAGGTTCTATTATTTCACCATAATTATTCAGCCTGTATGCTGAGCAAATAATATGAGAAGCTGGGTTCTATGAAAAAAATAAACGTGGCATCAGGATTGGAGGAAGACTCATTAACAACCTGCGATATGCAGATGATATAACCTTGCTTGCTGAAAGTGAAGAGGACTTAAAACATTTACTGATGAAAATCAAAGAGTACACCCTTCGGTATGGATTACATCTTAATGTAAAGAAAACAAAAATCCTCACCACTAGACCAATAAACAACATTCTTATCAACAGAGAAAAGATTGAAGTTGTCAAGGACTTCATTCTTCTTGGATCAACTATCAACACTCACAGAAGAAGCAGTCAAGAAATCAGAGGGCGTATTGCATTAAGCAAATCTGGTGCACAAGACCTTTTTAAAGTGTTGAAGAGCAAAGATGTCAGCTTGAGGACTAAGGTGAGCCTGACCCAAGTAGTGGTATTTTCAATAACCTCATATGGATGTGAAAGCTGGACAGTGAACAAGGAAGATCATAGAATAATTGATGCCTTTGAATTATGATGTTGGCGGAGAATACTAAAAGTGCCATGGGCTGCCAAAAGAACCAATAGATCTGTTTTGGAAGAAGTGCAGCCAGAGTGTTCCTTAGAGGCCAAGATGGCCAAACTTCATCTCTCATACTTTGGACATATTGTCCAGAGGGAACAGTCGCTGGAGAAGGATGTCATGCTGGGTAAGATGGAGGGTCAGAGAAAAAGAGGAAGACCCCCAACGAGATGAATTGGCCAGGTGGCATCATTGATGGCATCAAGTGTGGCAGCGGTAGTGAGGTTGGCCCAGGATCGGACATTGTTTCGTTCTGCTGTGCATGGGTTCGCTATAAGTCGGTTCCAACTCAATGGCACCTAACAACAACAACAACAACAATAACAACAGTAAAATAGGCTTACTGGGGAGACTTTGTAGTATATAGGACCTTAGGTGGGACCCTGAGTCACATCCATAATCTTCTGAGGTAGGATATTTCCACTTGAAAGGACAAGCAGACCAGCCTAGAACAGCTAGAGGAACAGAAGATACTTCTAAAAAGAAAGACCAGCAGGAAAAATCCAAAAATCAAAAATGACAGTCTGATTTGCTACTACAAGAACAAGTAAGTTGTTCACCAGGGAGCCATTAGGCAAGCAATCAAGTCCCTCTAAGCCTGAAACTCAAAGAGGACACATGAGCAGGCATGTAAGCTTGTTGGCAACCACGTTGGTCTGCTGGTGAGTGGAAGAGGAGGGAAGGCAGCAATGAAGAAAGGGGCTGAGTTCAAACATGTTCCATAGACCCCTGTTAACCTGGAGATGAGAGAGAGAAGCAGAAGGGCTGGTGGGTCCAAAGTGTAGTGAGACTTGGGGACTCCTGAGCCCATGGACAAGGACATAGCCATGGAGGGCTATAGCTGAGAGTGCAGCATCCAGTTGATATGAAGTGAGGGGAGATAGAGAAGAATGCCCAAACTTGTAGATAAAACCCATTTGACCATCTTTTATGGCTTGATGATAACTAGAAAAAAAACAGGTTCTGGTAAAGGAAACAAGTGTAAATTCCTACAATTTGATGAATTTGTTCTATACTTATGGATGTAGTAGCTCAAAATACTGAGAGGGAAGGAATCTTCTCATCAAAGATTGCTCCCATCCCCTCTGTACACACGGTTAATAGGAATAGGCAGCTTAGACATTGGCTACCCAAAGTGGGGGGTATAAAGGCACAAAATGACTGGCTTACAAGTTTTCACGAGGGAGTTTAGTTAGTGTGTGGGGAAGGCAGAATCCCTACTGAATAGGCCTCATCTTGTCTAGATGGGTCTGGTGAAAAGATACGGGAATAAGATACTTATGATTCAACAGTGCTTACTTGTTATCAGACTCATTGCGACCATCACAACAGTAAAGGTAGAAGTTCTGTAACAAAAAGGTGGGAGTAGTAAATCTTATATTCCAGGAACAGAGGACCCTATGACCATCAAGGAAGAAAAGCATGAGTGGAATATGGGACCCTATCCAGAGAAGCTGCAATACCAGAGATGGAGGCAGAGATGAGGACATGGAGAGAGAAAGCAGCAGATGACTCTAGACTCATGGAAAGAGAAACACTGTGTGCTTGTGGCCAGGAGGCAGGCTTGTAGAATGTGCCTCTTTGGTTGTTTAAACAATTATATATTCCTGAGTGGTTTTGTGTACATCAAAGAAAACAAACAAACAATAACACACAAAAAAAACCAGAGGGAGTAGAAGCAAATATTGTTGAATGATGAGACTGGAATCATTGCAATGATTGTAATCACTGTAAATGGAGAAGATTGTAATTATTGTACTGAAACAATGAGTGTAAAATTGATGTTCTCCCATGTAAATGATCACTCAATTACAATAAAAACTTAAATAATAATAAGAAGAATATGCTATAAGCATAAAATAAACTGTAGAAAAAAAGTCAACAGCAGAGCAAACATTACAGAGTCATATTGTCTGGAATTGAATCCCAATTTTATTACCAATCAGCTTTGTGATCTGTACTTAAACAAGTTACTTATCTGTTTTGTGCCTTACTTTCCTCATCTATAAACTGGGTATACAGCTCTCGTCCCTATCTCTTAAGATTATGGGGATGAGTAAGTATTTAAATAGACATAGAACACTTGGAATGGTTTCAGGACAACAGCAGGTATGCAGTAAGGTCAGATATCATTTTTACTGCTACATTATTATATTATTAGTACTATTATACCATCTTGGTGTGGCATTGTAGGATAAGCACTGAACTGCTTACCACAAGGTCAGTGGTTCAAACCCACCAGCTGCTCCTCAGAAAACCTATACAGGGTCGTTATGAGTATGGCTGACTTAAACAGCACTTACAATGACAGCATCGCTATCACATTTAGGCATCTTTGGAGCAACTAAGAGAGGTTGTAGTTGTTATTCTTATGTGCTGTGGAGTCGGTTCCAACTTATAGTGACCCTGTACAGGATTTCCAAGGCTGTAAATCTTTATGGGAGCAGAAAGCCTCATCTTTCTTCCACGGAACAGCTGGTAGTTTTGAACTGCTGTCCCTGAGGTTCACAGCCCGATTCGTAACCACTACGCTACCAGAGAGAGGTCAGGAACTAGATAAAGAGAGGTGTGGATGGATGCATGGATGTGCCTGAATTTTAACAGACACATTACAACTTAAGTGAATGTTATCTCATGAATGAGTGCTATTTCACTAGAACACAAGTGACTCATGTCCCTGGGGAGAAGACACATTGTGTGACATTGTTCAGACCAATTTTGGAGTTGCTTTATTGAGTCGGTAGGTAACTCATAAAACTAAAGCCACCACAGAAACTTTTAGTATTTCAATACCTATCTCACACTCAACATTTCTTTGAGAACTAAGACTGATCAAAGGACTTCCTTTTATCTTGTGAGACAATTAAATTCACAATTTTTTGTGTGTCTAGTTATAACTAGTCAACTGGCATAGCATAGTCTAAAAAGACAATATTCCATGTTGAAATGCAATTTATCTATATTGATTTAAAGGTAATGGTAAGGTTATGTTTATTTTTTTGATTACAGAAGTCATAATTAAATGTATAAGTTTATCATTTGTCAAGTACAGTGATTATTACTGGAACTTACCACAAGCCTGAGGGTGTTGGGATGAGCTCTCCTGGTTGATAAATGCTACCCCTATAATGACAACGACAGTGAAATCTGTAAATAAAAAAGAACAAAAGGTTAAATTAAGAAGATATAAATTAAAATTTATATATATACATAATATATATAATTCTTAAATTATATATATGTGTATGGAGTCCTGGTGTGGTACTGGAAGACAAGCATTTGATGCTAACCATAATGTTGGTGGTTCAAACCCACCAGTAGCTCTTTGCAAATACTATATAGGGTCACTATGAATTCGAATGACTCAACAGCACTTAACACGTGTATAACAACAACATGTGTACATGTATACATATATGCGGCGCTTTGGGTTAATGCGCCAGACGGCAAAGCTGTCTGCAAGGTTGGCGGTTCAAGCTCACCAGCTGCTCCTCAGAAACCCTATCCCGGGTCGCTATGGGTTGGAACTGACTCAATGGCACTTAACAACAACTACATAGATATACACATATATATGTATGTAAGGAGCTCTGGTAGCGTAGTGGTTATGAATCGGGCTGCAAATCTCACAGTCAGCAGTTCAAAACTACCAGCTGTTCTGCAGGAGAAAGATGATGCTTTCTACTCTCGTAAAGATTTACAGCCACGGAAATACTGTACTGGGTCGCTATGAGTGGAAACCAACTCCACAGCACATAACAACAACAACATATATGTATGTATGTGTATATTTATATTTATGAGAGAGAGATACCTGGTGTGACGCTATGGGTTAATGCACTAGACTGCAAGGCTGATTTGAATCTCAAGGTTGGCAGTTCAAGCTTACCGGCCATTCGTCAGAAACCCTATACAGAGTCGCTATGAGTCAGAACCGACTGGATGGTACTTAAGAACAAGAAATATATATATATATATATACACACACACACACACACATATTACTGTTAGGACTCCATACATGTATATGTAGCGCTGTGGGTTAATACGCTGTACTAAAAGGTCAGTTTGAACTGCAAAGTTGGCAGTTTAAACTTACCAGCTGCTCCTTGGAAACCCTGTACAGGATTGCTATGGGTCTGAACTGATTCGATGGCACTTAACATCAACTATATGAAATATATGCAATTATATATATATGTTGTTGTTGTTGTTATGTGCCATCGAGTCGGTTCCGACCCATAGCGACCCTGTA